ATCATTAATTCAAGATAATTAGTAATAGAACCATGATTATATTTCATACGGTTATTTTTTATTTTTTTAGTTCAAATAAAATTTATGATTTAAGTTAAGATTTTTTTTTATTTGGAGAAGTTAATGTTATGTTTAGAACATTTTAGTTTATTAAATTTATTAATCAATGATAAAAAAAAATTATTAAGAGAATTATGGTTTGAAGATTTTATAAATATAAAATTATGATAACTTATTGATATTAATTAAAAAGTTTCAAATTGTTGATATATTTTGCAATTATAGTATCCAAAAATTAATTTTTAATTTATTATTATGATTTTGATTTTTGAATACATTTTATATATTTTTTTAAAAATTAATTATTTTTCTTTAATTACCCAACCGCAAACGCCCGCAACCACAAACGTTCGAGGGAAGCAACTTTGAATTTTGAGAGATTTGAAGCAACACAGAACGGTAAAACATTCCCCATGATTGTTGTCAAATGCCAACAACCGCTACCATCCGCAAACAGTGGCGGAGGCAGCATGTTGGCATGGTGGTCACTTGACCCACATGAATTTTTTTAAAACCATGTAAATTATATTGAGGGTTTTAAGTTGATCCTTACCCAAAACAATTATTGACCCCTATTGACCCTGGTAAATTGTTTTTCTGGTTCCGCCAGTATCCGCAAACACAGTATTTACTGGTAGTAGCGGATAAACCAATCAAACTCGAGATATACATCAAATAGTTCAAATGCGTTCAAGTATTTAATTATAATTATAATATAATATCTTTTTTTTTTTAATCATTTTATGAAAAGAAACAAAAAAGAACAACATTTTACTAGTAAAAGGGAGGTCGGAAGGGAGGTCGGTCTGCTAGCGGACACATATTATGAGTTAAACGACACACGTCTGTTTCATAACTTGCATGCATTCTTGGTTCGTCAACTTGCATATGTTTCAAAAGGATCAAGTTAAAAGAACTTAAGAACACACAAAAAAAACAAAATCAAAAGAAGAAGTTGAGACAAGAATGCTTAGTTTCATGAAAAGGCTATGTACAACATTTTAAAAGTTTCTCGGAATTTTACGTTTTTGGGCGTGTAAATTGGAATAAATGAGCAGGGCCGGGGTATTGGCGATCTCCCAAAAGTCCAAAGTGGGTTTCTTTTGTGTTCGTTGGTCAACTTTATGCAAATATCATAACGTTTCTTGTTATATAATATGTTCAAATATAAAATCAATCGAACTATTGTTAGAATGCTACTCGCTCGACATCGCTTTTAAATTTTATTGGAGTTATTTTAATTGTCAAAAAAAACTATTTAAAGAATTTTGTCACCTCCTTTACCCAAAAGAAAAAAAAAATTATCACCAAATCGTTTTTTTTTTTTGGTTGGGGAGGGGAGACATGTCATCACCATCGTTTTAGTTATCATTTTGTCTTTTCAAATAAATTATCTTATTAATTTTACAAAATATTTAATACGTACATAAATAAAAATATTAAAGACGAATATTATTTATATTTTTTTTCTTAAGATGAAATTAAATTAGGTTGTTTTGTTTTGGTTTGTACTATTATTATTTGTGGAGACCCTGAATTTCAGAAAAGAAAGAGAGAAATCATCATTTCAATTTCACCGAATGGGATTCAAAATTTTAAGAAATGAAAGAGTGATTTATTCATGTGTCGCCAGGGGATTAGCTTATTTGATTGACCAGATCAGGTTTGGTGTAAAACCAAAGCTTTTGATCAAGTAAAGAGATCACATGACGTGTGTGGTGTAACGGTTGCATGTAAGTTGATAAAGATAAACCGTTGTTCATTATTGCTCCGAGACCTCCAATGATATTGCCACGTCGTCTCATTTCCTCCCCTGAGGGGTTTTCTTACTGTAACTCTATAGGTTATTTGTCAGAGATATATATGATATTAATACTGTGATAATGTCGAAACTGTGGATTTTTGTATCCATAACGTAATTTGAAAGTAATTTTAACGAAACTAGAAAAAATTATTTATAGTGAATTAAGAACATATGATCTAGTGGTTTGTTTGTGTGGAAAATGATTCATCTTCTGGATCTGATTAATAAACGAGTCTTACCATCTATAAAAATTTGTTGAAATCCCTCTCGACCACTACATAAGTGTCTTTAAGTAACAAAAATAGTCGATCTCTACACTTTTTAAATCAACTATTTGATCAAATAGTTTCTAAAAAAAAAAAAAAACTATTTGATCAAATAGAGAGCTAACAGATTCAATAGCAACACTTAATTAGCGGGATTCAAACTTAAAAAAAAAAGAAATTATTTACATTCCGAACATGAGATGTGTGGATTTCAGTTCCAAAAAAACATTTCATATGATTTGGTTGCATAAAACGTGATATATATATTAAATAAAATGTTAGTAGAAATCGTTACCATGATTTTCATATATGTAAATGAAAGACATGTAGTAGCATGTCAAGATGCTATGTAATGTCACAAGATATTAACACAAACTTATTTAGAGAACCTTAAATGAAGAAAGTCATGTCTAATCGTGTACGAATTAGATAATTATGTTTGAAGCATATGTATATAGTTGAAGAAATCTACCGTCCAGGAGCTTGACCTTCCTTTGCAGTCTTGTACATTTCATCAATCACATTCTGTCAAAATAAGTAAGTGATTTTAGTACCAATCTTTAAAGCTCAAAAATCGTGAAAAAAGTTTTGAAATTACCTGATAGTATTTTAGCAATTGAGGCCTCTTGTTTTTGTAGGTTGGAGTAAGAAGGTCTCTTTCAATGTCGAAGGCTACCGGTTCCAAATGAACAGCTTTAATGACCTCAAAACCCTTCAACTACAAAATGCAGAGTATAAAATACC